AATGGCCCAACCGTACGATAAGACAGGCGGTGGTAGCAAGAAAACACTATTATCTCAAGAGGACTTGGAGAAAATAGGGGAGAGTGGTATGGAGATGTTTTGATATCTCGACGAGCTTATATTTGTGCCTGCCCATGTGAAATAGCATCGAAGCAAAGCAGGAAGTTTTGTGTTAAGTCTTCTTTCATGTTTATTTTAGATGTTCAAACGCGAGTAACTTAAAAAGAAGAAGCTGCTGTTGCTTCTAGTTTGAGAATAGGGATATGAGCAAATTTTTTGTATCATGGTTCTTGTTATTGTTGTTAGCTTTTTCCTAGCAGTGGACGGAGTTGCTGTATTTACTAAATACAATAGTGTGCATCCCCTGCAAAGCACGGCCTCCTACTTTTTTAAGCATTGCATTTTAAACTTGTCACCCTCTAAGTTTTAATATATTTGATTTAATTATTGTATGCTTAAAACTAGACATCATATCTCCTCTATATTTAAAGAAGAATTCAAGTTTTAATATATTTGATTTGTTTTATTGTTTATGATACACTAAATTACTGTAGCATGAATAGTAATATCAAACATGGAGGAACAGATTTGATTTACTGTTTATGCTATAGTAAATTACTGCAGCTAACCGTACCTCAAGCATAGAGGATTTACTGTTTATGTTATAGTATTTTACTGTAGTATGAATAATAATTCTTTGGATTTTCCAAGTATAAAGGAGTAGATTTGCTTCTTTCACTCTCCCTCCCTCTATCTATGTTTTGGGAGAGTGATAATAGCTTAATGTATTGTTTTGTACTTTAGATAAAAGAATATCCAGTGCTTTCACTATTAGATTAAGAGAGTGGTTGGGAAGACTTTTTTTTGTCAAACTAGCTTTTAAGCTAGCTTTTTTTTACCTGTTTGGTAAATTAATAAATAAGTTAGCTTATAAGTATTATTTTCAAAAGTTGGTGTACTCCAGCTTTTAAAAAACTAGTTTATAAGCTTACTTATATAAGTTAGGTTTAACCAAACAAATTAAAATTCTACCCAAATAATTTTAGTAGTATTTTTATTATAAAAGCTAAAAACAACTAATAGTTGATATAACTTGTAATCTTTAAAAAATAAGCATTTCCAAACACCCTCTGATGAGTTTTTTGGTTTCAGCTGTGAGCACGAGCTCGTACTAAGTTTTGTACGCTTGAAGAATGGATGTTTCTGATCTCTGATGTGAAATTTAAGCAGATCATGATTATTTCAATCAAATTATTAGTATTCAATTACTACCCTGAAAATCCCTCCGCAATACAAGGGAAGCTTACGAATCTACCCCTCTATAAAAATGAGAGAACCCAATGTTCGCTATTCATGCTACAGTAATGCTATAGTAATATTTATTGTAGCATTGTTACCGTAGCAAACAGGATGTTATATACTGTAGCATTTTTTTTTCTTCAAAAAGTGCTATAGTGCACGGGAATACCGCAACATTGTAAAAAACTATAGCAATAAAAAAATGCTACTGTGGCATTAAACTGAGATTACTGTATCGGGAAAAAAATGATATGTGGTGGTTTGCACGGTATTCACGACTTGTCTCTTATAAAGGAAAGCTCTTGACTTAAAAGAGTTTTGTTTTTTAGAAGCTAAAGAGTTTTGTTTTATCTTTTAATCCTTTGTAATTTGTGGGACGTGCGCACAAACGCACAAAATATTTCTTCTTCTTCTTCTTAAAATTCTTTTGGGTTTTGTTGGGGGGTGGGGGTGGGGTTTGGTGGAGCTGGGGATGTTACAACCAACCCGATTAATCTCAATGTGAAACCTTATTACCTTCCTAGTAGAATATTGACTAATTTTAATTTCTAATTGTCATTGTTTCTCAAAGGATCAAAAGAAAAATAAATAGAAAAGAGGGTAAATTTCACAAAAATCCTCCAAAATTTTCATACACTTTGAGATAACACAAAATTAAAAATGTCATATAACACCAAAATGTTATGTAGGATAACCCCTTCCCGTGTGACACAGCCTTTTGGTTGTTACGGCACCAATTCTAGAAGCTTTTGTTGCATCTCAGAATGGCCCCTCGCTAAAATATTTTTGTTGTATCTCAGCATGGGCTGAACATTTTGGGGGGTTTCTATGAAGTTTACCATAAAAAGAAAATGATAAATAACACTTAAATACGTTGGTATGAACTTTTCTTTTGCGCCCCGAGTTCTTTAAAATCGTGATGTTAGTAGTATTTTTAGTTATGCAAATGTGAAAATGTTCGTTCGAAAGTTTTGATGAAACATTCATATGCTTGATTTTATGGCCTTCTAGCTCTGAGTTTGTTGGATATACTGTTAAATCTATACAAATTATATTTTTTTAAAACTAGAATTGGATAATTTAACTTGGAATTTGATCAATAGTGATTTATGGTTAAAAAGCTAAGATTAACATGTGAATATTAAATAAAAAAATTTCAAGTGAATATTTTCACATTTGCATGATAAATAATACTATGTGTCAGTTTTAAACAACTTAATATACATAGTTGCTATGAAAAAGAACTAAAGGTATATAAGTGCTAAGTGAGTAAAAGTATAAGGTATTCAAGTGCTAATTAGCCAAAGAAAGGGCGGGGAAATAAAAAGATCTGAACCAAAACAGCCAACAAGGTCTTTTGATCGCTCGCAAACTAAATGGGCCTAACTCAAATCTAACTCATCTAAAGCTCAAGCCCACCACTCAATACAAAGGCCCAACTAGGGTTTTACTTTCTCCATTGATTACTTTCGAGCGAGCGAGCGTGCGAGCGAGAGAAAGAGCAAAGGCAAAAAAGCGCCGCCGCCGACGAAGCGGTCGCCGGAGCTCCGTCACGACCACCGATCACCCGCCACGAGGTGCAATTCTTCTTTACCCTCATTAAAATTCCTAGCTTTTGATTCGGTGAATTTATTGTTTTTTATTTTATATAATATGATCGCTTAATGTAGATTGAAGTCGTTATTCGCTAGGAAACGAACCAATGAGTCCGAGACCTTGGTCAGTAAAAAAGGCTGAGATTTTTTTTTGTGGGAATTTATTTATGCAGATGATTTTATACAATATCGATAATTTTGTTAAAAATCTAGTCTTGTTAAAAATTGAACTTTGGAAGTTTGTTGTAATGGTGGGGCTTTTGTATGCAAATATATTAATTAAATATAACATTGTATAAACATATAAGGTTAACTTTTGGAACTCTGATCCATTTGATATAGTTATTTTCTCATTTTATATACGTGGTCATTTACATTTGAATGCATCTGGTATCAGTATCTCGTTTAGCATTTAACAGCACTAAATTACATGTAAAGTTGATCTCTTCAGCTTTTCACAACTTTATTGCATTCCCTTCAAATTGTATTTTGCACTTCCCTGCCCTTTTATCCAGCCTTTTGCATTGTGGCAATAGATTATGATTGCGACATGAAGTATGAAGGACCAATTCAACTAGCTTGTCTCTGTATCTGGTACGAAAGTTTCAGATTATTCTTTGCCCAGAGGAGTCCTGAGCCATTGAAGCACAATTTATAGTAAACGCACAAGACAATATGGTTTTACTTCGTAGATTATGACTTTTCTTTGACAGAGACCTTACTCTTTTTTTTGGGGGGGTAAGTAATAGATCTTATTTACCAGTGATCAATGAAGTCCAAAACAAAACTGATGGCAAAGTTGCGGCCTCTCAAAACATGTAGAGAGCCAATCAAAAGAAGAAGAAGTCACAACTAATAACAAAAATATTGTTAGTGAGAGTAAAACACAGCTACATTAGCTCCTCTTCTTCGAAAAGAAACTAGGCTCGATATGCATGTCTCTTGAGTGTTGCCTGTTGACTATGGTATCATTGAGCCTTGTTCCTGCTTCATTGTATCTTAATGTCAAATACTGCAACCTGGTATTATGAAAAACAATTTTGGTCCTGGCTAACTAAATGTGATATTTGCAAGCAGCTGCAGCTCCTCTTGTAATGCAATTGATAGAGCTGCTGCCCCTCCACTCTTGCTCCATCCAAAAACAACGGCTTCAGGCCAAGTAGTGGGGGCACTATGAACTCGTACAAAAGCCCTAACCTGAGACCATAAGTTGAGTACTGAAAGGGCATTCAAAGTGAAGATGATCCTTTGTTTCTACATGGCTTGCACAAATGGGGCATACATCATCCTCAACAACCCCATAATTTTTCATTTTATTAGGTCTTGGAAAAGAATAAATATTCCAAATAATATTGGTCCATCTCTTTTTCTTCATTTCTCCCACAATTACATCACATGTAGCGGAGGCGCTATACTTGGCCTTTATCCCTTTCCAAGTAATACCCAAATTAGATATATCAGTGCATGGTAAAGCCAAGTCTCTGAGTTTAAGGAGCTTCCTGAAGGTCTAAGAATAGTGATTTTTTGCTTTTAAGTGTCCAAAAATCATGATTCCTTAGATAATATCCATGCATCCATCTAATCCAAATAGAGTCAAACTTAAGAACTATAGCCCAATTTTTCTTAATCATTAGGGCTTTGTTAAAACAATTCATATCATGAAGACTTAAGCCCCCAAAATTTTAGGAGAACACACTGAAGACCAAGCCACATTTTATCAAGAACAAATTACTAATCTACCCAAATCATTTTTGTATAATTTTTATCATAACAACTAAAAGATGACAAAACTTAACATAACCCAAAAGCTTCTAAAATTTCTCTAAATATCAACATTTTTATCTTAATTGAAAAGTGCTATTTTTTTATTTTAGGAGGAGCATTATTCAAACGATTAATATGCAAAATATAACAGCTTGGATCTTGTAATATGGCACCACTCCGTAACACCACATTACATATGAGCTTACAACTTCCAAGCAGAATACCAAATTGACATAAATTCTATCCTATTAGGGGTAGGAGTTTGAATTTTCCACCTTACTGATTAGAAAAAGAAGAATAAAGAATAAAATTAGAAACCTAATGAGCCTATGTATAACATAGTAGCTAAAGAAGTACGACTATAGATGCACAAAAACTTCTTAATTCCAAGTAAATTTCAGATTCATGAACACAATAGCAATCTTCTTCTTATTCTCTTATAGAGAGAAAAAAATACATTAAAGACTTGTCTGGTGGATTGAAACAAACTACTAATCTACTAAGCAATAGGTTAAGTCACTAATTTCATCTAGCTACAAGTTTAGACAACTTAGAAATATATAATCAATAAACTCTGAATAAAAATAAAGCTAAACAACAAGAACTGCAATTACATAGCAAAATTAGTTTTCTAAATCTCTCAACCAAAAATAAGAGCGACAATAGCCTTAGCTTCCTCCCTTAGATCAAAAGAAATCAAAATTAAGTCTCTGATTTTCCACAAATGATAGTAAAAATCAATAAAGTTACTACATTAATGCTGATAAGCATACAATCAAACACTATATGTAAAACGCTACATAAGCATTCTATCGAATAGCAGATGCGCATAAAAAAATATACAAACAACTCTTAAAAAACTAAGACCAACTCTTCCAGATCCAGCATCACAGATCCAAAAATAAAAAAGCTCAAGAATTTTCAAAAATATATTGTAGTCATGCTGACAATTCCAAAAACGGAACATATATTGAATCATGTTGATGGAATTACAAATAGAGAGCCAAAGATTCAAAATTTCTTTAAGAGGATATCAAATCAACATAATTTCTAAATTAAAATCCCAATTTAGTAGATTGGATTAGTAAGAAAAGATGAAATATCATTGAAATTCACCAAATATTTCTTCACCAAGCAACAAAATTTCTACACCATGCAACAAAATTTGAGGGAGTTTAAACATTAAATCATTGAGCGAGCAAAAACCCTAACGAACCCTAGAATTCTGTAGGAATTGGGATCTCATATCTCACTTCTAAATTTGACCAAATAAGCAGCCACATCCAAATCTAAATCATGTGAAGAAAATCAATAAGAGGAAGAGAGAGAGTGAGGGTGATTTTAAAAACTAGGAGGGAAAAAAGTCATAGGAGAGAGAAAATTTGAATATGAACCTGAAGAAGCCGTAACCCTAGAAGCGGATGCTCTGGGGAAATCTAGACCGCCGAGATGCTCGAGGTTGAAGATGGTGAAGAAAATCAATGGCGGCAACGGGATTAAGGTCGAACAGGTTGAATACGACGAGGGGTACGACGAGGGAGAAAAACCACATGCTTTTGAACCATAGTTTCACACGTGAACAATTGATCTCTTTAACCGTTTTTTATCCTACCCCCTTCACCTGGTTATACTTTTACGCTCATACATGGCTAGACTAATTTTAGAGCTAATGGGTTTGGCTCGTTTTATAGGCGTTAAGTGTTAGTTAAATAGTTAAAGGGCAATACGTACAGCTTGACTTATAGATAAGAAGATTATTAGCATTTTAGCTTGTAGTCATTGAATTCCTGTACAACAAGATGTACGAGAATCCAATGAGTAATATGTCAAAACTAAATAGAGCTCTCTAACTATTAATATTTGTTAAAATTTTTATTAGAAATATCCCAACTCTATTTGAAAGTAAAATTAAGATAAGTTTGAAAAATAAGTTTGGTTGACTTAATAGCAAATTTAATAAATATTTTTAGTGAAAAAGATCTAAAACTAGCATGTAAGTATCATAGAGAAACATTTAGGTAAAAAATTTCATGTTTGCATGATCCATGGTAATGACGTGCCAATTTTAAAAAATTTATAGTATTTTATTTTAGCAAAATGGAACATGTGGTATTTAATTGCCATTTAATTGTCAAATGAGAAACTTTACGGCACTTTTGTGCAAATTTAGCTCAACTTATTTACCAAACTGGCCCTTAACATTTTGAAGGGATAACAATAGAAAATGGCCCACATGTGGATCAGGTTTGGAAGAGTGAATCCATCCCGGACCCCACCCAACCCGCATGTAAGCCCACAGCGCAAAACCGCAACCCTCATTTGATTTCTTCATGATTTCCCCATTGATGAGGAGACCTTAGATCGTAGTCGCAGACATCCCTCAATCGTTCCTTCTTTTTTCCCCTCTAAAATCTAATTTGGGGGAATGACACCCCAAATTGCTGTTATGCTCTTTGTAGTAGTTTAGAGTGCATATCTGTGTTTTTTCTTGTCATTTAAATGAAGATGAATTGATTTTTTCTATAAAGATTGCATTTTGACCTGAACTGAGATTAATTTGATAAAATTTTTGATAGAGAAAGGTGTGGGTTTGGGAAAAAGATCCTATTTTGGTGTGAAAACGGAATTGCTTTGAATTGGATTTATGGACCGGTTATCATTATTAGTGTTAATTATGCTCTTCATTTCAGTGTGAAAGATTCTCTCCCTGCTCTGTGCAATGACTGTAGAGCCATAAGTGAAGGTAATTTGTAAGGATTGATATTAAACTTGTGATGATGGATCAATTAGAATTAGATAGCTGAAGTTTGTTCTTGTTGCTTTATTTATAACTATTTTTTAGATCAATATGTTTGTTTCTTTAGTTGTAGAGTAATTATTGTTATAATGCTATATCCTATCCAATTGGTAATTCTTTTAAAATTTACAAAAGTTTTAAGAAAAAGCCGGGCCTCTCCTTGTACCCACCTCTAGTTGATAAGGTTCCTTGATCCTTTCATTAGATTGCTAGTAAGGGACTTCCCTATACGCCATCTACACGTCTACTTTTGGTCAAGTTCTCTTGTCATTGTCTTTAGTAGGAATTGGGCATCCATTTGGAGTGTGAACCGATATCCAGTCTATAATCTGTCAAACTAACTATGAATATTTTTCAAATAGTCTCTTTTTTTACCTCATTTTTTATGAGAACATACTTGACAATGATGATGTTGTTTCCATTTTGATTTGATAATTTTTCATTTGCCTGATTTGGTAATTTGCTTAGTTATTGATCTTTTCTCTTCTTGGCTTATCCACAAAAGTAGAAGTTCAAAATGGTGAAAACTACTGGTAATGATGCTCAAGCACTGATCCATTCTCTACTTACTGCTTATGCCGCCACGCCAACCAATCTCAAGGTATAGTTGATATGAAATATGAAACATACAAAACTTGTCTACTTTAGTATAGTCTCTTCTCTTATTTCGTCAACACTATCATATGAATTTGAAAACTGGCTTTTCCATGATTTTTTTTTTGCAGATCATTGATCTCTATGTGGTTTTTTCTATCTTCACGGCATTAATTCAGGTTTGACTAAATGGCGCGTCATTTATCTTTATATGGTGTTTTTCATCTATGTTCTATGTTAGAATCTCAAACATAGATATGGTTCGGATATAATTATGATTAGTTAACGTTTTCTGATAATCTTTTCTATCAAACAGATGGCTCAAACACTCAAATGCCACGTACTAAACTGATCTTTATTATACTTAACCCATTGAATCCAAGAAGAAAAGGAAGAATATATAGTGAATATGCTAATAGTATAGGAAATAATTGTTTAACAACTAACTTTCTGCTAATTACAGAGTACAGACTTTATGTTGCCTTTCATTAGGAATCTAGTAATGCAACATTGTAGCAAATGGAGCAGTAATGTCCTTTGGTGTTTGTTGAGTGTTAGCATTTTCATTTGTTCCTTGTTTTTAATAACCAAAACTTAACTAAAATAACAACCGTTAGGGATCATTTTGACAAAGGAAATTGGCTTCTGTATTGAGATGTACTCTTTTGTGCCGTTGAGTTCCTACTAGGTTTTCTATCTGTTTCCGTCAGGACACTGCCTGAATTCTCCATTCCAATTTGTTTTTGTAGTTGCCATTGAGCAGATGGTTGTATTCTTCTCCTCTTTTATCCCCGCCCTGACTTATTTATCCTTCCAGATTCTAGTATGCTTTGCTTCAATACAGCTGAATTTTGAATCCATTTTCATGTTTAGCTTGCTAATGGATTTGAAGCCTATATTATTTAATCACTACAAGCTGCTAGCTAAATATTTTTAGTCAATTATTCACCAAACCATGAATGTAAACACTCCACTCTTCTTTAATTTCTCTGGTGATTTTGGATTTGACTAGTGATTGTTTTTAAAAATCTGAGCAGAATTGTAGTCGTTTCTAAGGGGCTGTCTTGTTTGCAGCATAAATAAATTGCAACAAAGTTTCTGCAGCAAATGTTGCATGCAACATTTGTTGCAAGAAATCAATTTGAAATTTGTTATTTGAATATCTGCATTTATATTATAGGAAATGTATTTCCAGTGCAAATTTAGTGTTTGGTTGAAAAGCATTTAGTGCAAAAGCTACATAATTTTGTCATATATGGAAACTTGATTTAGATGATTTTGGATGTGGGTGTAAAAAAAATTGAATTTGATGAGGTGAAATTATTTTTATTTTTTAATTTCCTTTTTTTGAGGTTGGCACAAGAGAGAATACTAAATAGGTCAAACTAACAGCTAACATCACCATCAAAACACATATCACCTAATGATGCACATTATTTTTATACTAACATAATCATTCATATAAGCAATACGAAAGCAGTCTGCCACTCGATAGTTAAGATCTGCAAAATATGTAAGTCTCAGAAATTATAAGTAGGCAAATGGTATGAAGAATTAAGTTGGTCTGAAATAGAAACAACAAAAAGAGAGTAGAAAAAGCCATAAAAAATGTGAATAAAAATGAAAGTGCATGATAGAGAAGCCTAACTACATAGAACAACCTAATAACCATCACCATATGCTCGGTTGCTAGAATTAAGATCACTAAAAAGTGAATGTACTACGAGATTGGATTACGATCACACAATGGAGGTTGAAATTAAGAGGCCGTATATATTATATATATATATATATATATAATATATATATATATATATATATATATATATATATATATATATATATATATATAGATTAATGGGTATCCTTTGTCATAGGAGGGGATTTTCCTCCTTAACGCCTCTAAAATCACATTGATTGAGCGACATTGTGGATGATCCGCTCCGTTGAACTTGATCTACATATTCTAAAACCCCAACACAGCCAAGTTTGGGTGAACCCGTCGTCGTTTGACCCTTCATCCATCGTATCAATTTTAACGGTTTTGAATGAATAGACTTTTCACATGGCTCGATGGAGGGGTCAAACGACGACGGATTCACCCAAACTTGGTGTGTTGGGGTTTTAGAATATGTAGATCAAGTTAACGGAGCGGATCATCCACTAATGTCGCTCAATCTCATGTGATTTTAGAGGCGTCAAGGAGGAAATCACCTCCTATTGACAAGAATACCCATTAATCTCATATATATATATATATATATATATATATATATATATATATTAGAGAGAGAGAGAGAGAGAGAGGAGAATTAATGGGTATCATTGTTATAGGAGGGGATTTCCATCCTTGTCGGCCTATGTGACACAATTCCCACCATCCTCATAAAGTAGGCACAAATCTCCACTGAACTCACACTTCTCTTATGAGGATGGTAATCATGTGATTTTAGAGGCGTCAATGAGGAAATCCCCTCCTATGACAAGGATACCCATTAATCTTATATATATATATATATATATATATACACACACACACACATACATACATATATTAGCCTGGATTGCTTATACATTAAGTACTATATCATGTAGGTAAATAAACGTAACTTGAAAACTTATGCATTTTAACAGACATATCATTTGGCCTTTTCAATGTTTAAAACTAGCCCTATGAAGTGGTGTCAGTTCCAAGAGCAGCAATGAATGAGACTAATTTTGGCTTCAGAGTTTTTTTGGAGAGAAACCTAAACGTGTAATGGAGAAAAGAATGACATGAAAGTCGTCAATGAATATTCAAAGAAGAAACTACCTTAATCTTTTGCCCTGAGCTACTAATCAAAGAGCAAAATAGATGTAAGAATAAAAAGGCAAAAATCTTTTCTAAAGTGTGCAATCCTATGAACTTGCTTCTAGTATGTAATCACATTTCTGCTACAACTATGAAAAGCCTTCACGCGAATGATCATGAAATTTGCATGTGTGTGCAATCCCATTAGTTATATGATTTTCATAAGAATGTATTTACTACAAGTGCACATACATAAACTTCGGAAATGTAGCATTTACGATGAGACGTCGAAAATGTGCAGACATAACACAACAATCACTCATTGAGTATATAGCTACTTCTAATAAAATAAGAAGTGCAATAGCTAACATAATTTTGAAAGTATCATCTTGTAGTTTGTCAAAGAAACCTTTTAGCTTGCTAAAGCAAACATCAGTATACTTCCAAATGCCTAAAAGAACAATAATTAAATTTACTACCAAAACCAAACTTTATAACAAATGCATCATGATATCAAAGTTTATAAATAAAACTAATCAGGTGACCCAGGTCTCATTGACTGAACTGCAAGTTAACCATAATCATCTGTGTACCAACATGAAAAACTACACAATTAAAAGCTATGCCATCCTAAGTCCCTTTGTCAACTCTGAGATGCTCATCTATCAATATTTTACATATTTAATCATTGTACTTGATATTATGCACGGAATTTGGACCTAATCCCCAATAATTCAATTGGTTTCTAGTTTAGTTACATAAAAAAAGCTATATCACTAGTCAGGCTATTTTTTATCATAATTTGATATGATTTGTAAATTATTTCTCACCGAAACAATCAAATAACTGTACCTTTGTTAGGACTGAATGACAATTAAAACACAAGAAAGCACAAGAAATTAATTAACAAAGATCCCTGCTTACTGTAGTTTTTGGTCCAATTTAGCAATCACGAGTTGAGAAAAAGGAGATCAGTGAAATAAAAAAAAGGTAGGAAACTAAGCCAAGAGAGTGAGTAGTGAAGGAGTCATCTTGGTCAAGGATCGCCATTGCCACCACCAGAGGGAGCATAGGACTAGCTAAAGAAATCCGCAATGGATCCAGGGTTATTGGGGGAAAAAGAGAGAAATTCTGTAACTGATCTAGGTTTTGGGTGTCTAGACACCAGGGCGAGAGATCGGGGGCGATCACGAGAAGATCAGGAGCAATCTCAATCAAGAGAGAATTGGGAACAGATCGCAATCTGAGAACATGAATTCAAAATGACACCATGGTCTTTGTTGATTTCAGGCCAAGTGTAGAGTTTAGTTCCAGATAAAAATTGGGCCAATTCCATAATTTCAAAATTTTCTTATCCAAACACTGGTATTGGCCTAGTTTCTGAAATTGAAATCAATTACAGGTTTCCAAACAGTCTATTAAGGAAATGTAATTTTCTTGAGTCGTAATCTAAGCTAAAGAGTGAAATGAAATAGCTTAGCATTATTTGACAGTAATTCTCTTCAAATATAGAGAAAGAGGATGATAAAGGTTATAGGCACATTCTAATTTCTCCTCAGTTGCTTTTGTCGAATCAAAGGGAGTAACTTCGAAGTGAACGTTCACTAAATTACAATTTATGTACACTATTAATCTATTATATTAAGTCAATGGTGGAAATTGCTATCAGAATACCAACAATACGAGTTTACGATAATAGCTATTAATTGAAATATTAAAAAAACGAGCATCTGTAATCTCATAGGTGATCTTATAAAAATTAAAATATAGCCAATTGAATGATTAGCAAAAGAAAACTTACATCAGAAAAGTATAAATAATAAGATAAAGAGGAAAGATAATGACATTGTCAATAGTACTACAAATAGCAAACTACAAAGTAAAGTTAACCTATTTTGTGGAGCCCAACTACTGGCTATAAGTATCGAGGTTTCATATATATACTTTATAATTTGTTAAAAAGGGTCATATAATCTTATATAATAAAATTAATTTAATATTAAATAGTAATATCATTATTAGAAAAAATTCTTTATGAATCGATATGCTCTTTACGATATATAAGCTATATACTCTAAATTTTTGTGTTTTTCATAGAGCCAAAAAGTTTGAAGACGAGCCTCTAACATGTTGCTCTCACAACAGCAAAATCCACTTAGGAGATATTAATATTCTAGATGAGTTATGTATCATATATACAATACAATTGTCCTAGACAAGTGTGTTATAATAGCATTTTTTATTCACATCGTTTGGGGTAAGATTTGATAGGAAAAATAGAGATGTTGTGCTAAATTAGTACAACATCGTTTGGGGTAATAAATAGAGAACATCTAAATTAGTACAACATCTCTATTTATTAGTATCTTGAAGATACTTTATAATAGCAAAAATTTAGATCACTCATCTTTTAAAGTCTTCAAGATACTAATAAATAGAGATGTTGTACTAAATTAATGTGTTTATAACTTACAAATAGTAGATCACGTAGCCACAGTCTGGATTGAAGGAAATAATGATAATATTTTATTTGATAGAGAGATTATTGAGTTGATAATCAATCCCATAAAAAACTTTATTTTTTTATTTTTTTCTCTATTTTTATCAATGCACGTGCATCTCAACTCATGATATCCAACCACGTGCATTACACGTGCATCTCAACTAGTATAGGTAAAAGCGTAAGTAAGAGGATAAGGTTTGAAGTGAATGTTTTGTTTCTCCAAATGCCTGTGCAAAGGTACAGTCACATGATACTCTCTTACAAAGACAGTTTCGTAAATGATGTTTGTATTTGTTAATATCATGCAGGAAAGACTACCGAAATACGATATCTGTTTAACTGTATATCAAGAATTTTCCAAACTACTTTCATTAACTATATTCATTCTGATCTCAGGTGGTATACATGGGCATAGTTGGATCTTTCCCATTCAACTCCTTCCTCTCGGGCGTGCTTTCCTGTGTTGGTACTGCAGTTCTTGCAGGTAAAAAATTCATAAGAAAATAATCCTCATGTCACATGATACTATTCCACTTACTACGTGTTTCTTTTTTTGCTTCTATGAACTTGCAGTTTGTCTTCGCATCCAAGTTAACAAAGACAACAAGGAATTCAAGGTAATTTTGTACAAAATCATCTTATCAAGAAAGCATCATATTGCCTGTGAGCTGCACTTCCTTTTATTAACAAATCCACCCTCTCTTTGCAGGACTTGCCACCGGAGCGAGCTTTTGCTGATTTTGTCCTCTGCAATCTGGTTCTCCACCTTGTGATCATGAACTTCCTCGGATAGAACTGCATTAATATAAGTACGAAAATGTCGATGAGCGTTTCTTTTCAGTGAGTTTGTCTAAGATGCCATGATGATAGCAGACATATCTTTTACCTGGTTGAAGATTGTACTCTTGCCTCACAATTCTCAGGATTTTGACTTATCTTTAGTCATTTTGATGGTCGTTTGTCTTGATAAATGATGTACTCAACTAAAACTCGAGATCAAAGTTCTTATTTATTTATGATGACTGGCATTGTATGAGAAAAAAAATTTGCAAGCTTGAGGATGTTTCCAGTCTCTTTCGAGATTGAGATTTTGATTTTTGATTTTGATTTTTAAAGGAATTGAGAGATTCTTATTCATTGCATCAATGATAATTTGTTTATAGATAGGAGACATTCGAGATACAATGATTTCTTGTTGTTATTATTATTTAATTTTGCAAACTTTTTTCTTTTGGGAGTTCTAAATTTTAGAACATATTCGATTTTCTAAAATTCTCCAAATGCTTCATATAAGAATGCAAATTTTGGAAAATTAGGTTATTGGAAACCACCGAATGTTACATTACAATAAAATTTTGAAAACCACACGAGTGTACGTGATTCCTAACTCAAGGAATTGTTAATCCGCTTTGAGATAACACAAATTTAAAAACACCAAAATGTTATGCAGGATAATCTCCAGTGCGACATGACTTTTTTGTTTTAGGATACAAGTCTAGAATCTTTTTTTTTTAAATCTCAGAACGACCCAATTACAAATGATTTTGCTGGATCACATAATGAGCAAAATTAACTCGCTCATTGCCTCCACAATAATATGAAAAAGTCACGAAAAAAATTGAAGTATTTAATTTAAAATCCCATTGTATTTCTGAGCACTTATAATTTTTACACCACGCTGAGGTGACGCTAATGTGGCGCTGTTGTGAATCTTTTGATATTAACTATCAACTATTATTTGGAAAAAAAAACTACAAACATTTCAATTTTCTAAAAAAAATATTTTTATTTTCTACTTTATTTTTTGGGGATTCTTTTTGAGCAAGAGAAGAGACGAAGAAGTGCTAATTACATTATTTGTCATATAAAGAACATCATTACAACAAAATAATTATATTTTCTTTCTATTGATTAACAAAGACTTTCTACAAAGAGATTGAACTATTAAAAATGAACATCACCACAATATTTTTAATAATTTTTATACACTTACTTTGTCTGTCAAAATTTTCAAAGTAATCCTCCGTAAAATAAAATGCTAAAGTTGTTTTTTTAAAATTCTTTAGCATCTTTCCTTTTATATAAACTTAAGGAGGCCACACAGAAATGAAAGAGCAAGAAAAGAAGTTCAAATTTTTGACAAATTTTCTTTTTCTGATAAATATTGTTTAATATTAAAATGGTACATTTTGTTAGTGCCACCTTTAAAATTAGTTTGGTGCAATATTTGTAGCTGAGGTAATTTTATAAGTGGATGAGTTTTAAAAAATTAATAGGGTATTATTACCTTGAGTTTATAGGCAGAAAATCCATTATAATTTGTGATGCTGCAATATTATTATTAAAAGGAACAAAACATAGTAGTTTATATTGGTTTAAAATGTATTGGCTTAGGAAAAAATATAATCTATCTATATCTATACTACATATATATAAAGATGACTGCCTTGTCAAAAATTTTGATTTCCAATTTTGTCCTTTTAAGTTTGATAATTCTCAAATGTGTCATTAGTTGTAATTAATCATTCACTAATTATATATAACCTCTTATTAATTATGCATTTTCTCATTTTTTCAAAATCTTTGGTCACATTATTATTTTATTATTTGATTGCGTTATTTAATAGAAATTTTGAAATTTATCCATAATTTATCTTCACATAATATTTAAAATTCTAGAAAAATTAAAAATAATAACAATTCATTAGTCTTATGCCTTATGCCTCTCGGTTTTACCTCTTATGGACAACTACTTTTACCTTTCATCTTATTAGCCTTTAAAAGTATGATAATAGTATGAAAAATAATTTGTATTTATTATAATTATAATAATATTAAACTATTAATAGTATAATTATTTTAATAGTATTTTAAATTAATAAGTTACACTGTAATTTAATATACACAATTCAGTAAATTATTTACTAATACTGTTATAAACTAATTATGAAATTAAAATGTAGTTACTAATAGTACTATAATTATGCTATGTATAATATTATTATATTTAAAAAAGAAGAAATTATTTAATATATTATAATTATTTTAATAAATTATGAATAAACTATAACAATTAATAGTTAATCATACAATTCTTTATACATAGTTTTATCATATAATTTATTCATTTAAACAAAATTATAATTATTCAAAATTTATATTGATATATAGGTCATTTCATTATTTTCCAGCGAACAAAAAAAATTTGAAAAACATAAAACAAAACAGGTATGCTCTCGTGCAAAGCACGTGCACTATACTAATAATAATAAAATATGATAAACTACCAGCTTGGTATGTACACTCCTCTTACGAGTTTAGCATTTTTCTAGCTTTAATTAGCAATATGTTGGTATTTTTTAAGCTAAGTGTGTAATTAGACCCATCAACTTTGCCACTTGTGAAAAATGGCCGAGAAACCTGCATAAGCATCAACATAGTCATTATAGTTATATCAATGTGCCAAATAATCTTCTGGCGCTTCCCTTACGAATAATATAGCACTAATAAGGTTTCATGATTTTCTTTTCACTTGCTATGAAGTTTTTAGACTAGTTACATGTTTGGCTCACAAAAATTCTAAAATGTCGTTGGAGCTTGAAAAAGGAATGAAAGTGGTACCAGGGGTGTATAAAAATATAGTTTGATAGTTTAGCTTAATAAATATAACAATATGTTGTAAACTAAGTTGCTGAAGTACCCAAGTGGATGAAAATTAATTCACTGGAGCATTTGTGGTTTTGAAGTGATTTTAGAAGCTAGTGGGTTTCAAAAGTAAATGAGGGTAAAGTTTGGATTTATAGGAAAAAAATTAAGCTTGTAAAAATAAATATATAAGACTAAGGCTCTGGTTTTTAAATAAAAACACATTTATAGATCCAACGCGACAACATTAATGTGAAGAAGAGACAAAAACACGACCGCTTTGCATGAAGTGGTTTAGTTTAAAAATAAATGGGGATAAAACTTAGGATTTATAGGTGAAAAGTCATAGTAGAACTTTTGATGTTAGTGATTTTAAAAATAAATGGGTAAACTTCAGGTTTAAAGGCAAGAAACGCAACTTTGAATATGGTGGGTTCAAAATAAATGAAGAAAACAATAATTTTGGATCAACAATAAATTTGCTTTGAATATGGTGGGTTCAAAATTAGAATTGAGATACATTTACTTGTAATTTGGATCAACAATAAATTTAGCAAATATTAATGATTAAAAATTTACTATAGCACTTAAATACATTTGTATGAAGGCTTTTTTTCCTCAATAGCATTTATGTACCCTGAATTATTTAAAATTATAATGTTAGTACTTTTTGTTATCCGAATGTGAAATCTCATCTGAAAGTTGACATATAACATCTGTATGCTTAAAGTTTATAGCTTTCTAGATATAAGTTTGTTGAATTTACTGTTAAATCTATCAAAATTCTATTTTAAAATTAGAACCGGGATGTATTTACTTAGAATTTGGATCAATAGTAAATTTAGCAAATATTAATGATTAAAGTTCTAAAGATAATATGTGAACACATACTAAATAACATCTTCCAGACGAATATTTTTATGTTTACATACTAGAGAATGTTGTATGTCGGTTTCAAACAACCTAAGTTCCAAAAGTTATAAAGTTGCTACGAAAAACAACCAAGAGTATTTAAGTGCAAACTAAGTTGAGGCATAAAGGAATTTAAGTGCTGTTTACCCAAGAGCATATGACTTGATCATTTATGGCCTGTTCAAATGGAGGGTCGAGAGGAAAAGGGGAAGAGAAATGTAATTTTAACCTTGTTTGGGAGTTTTCTTAGAAGGGTAGAGATGGAGAAGGAAGGAGAAAAGGGAAAACTGAGAAAATGTTTTTGATATGTATAGACGATTTTGCCCTCCATCATCAAAATAAATCAATGGCCATGATTCGATCAAAAACCCTAGCCGGCCCCGTACGTCTGATCCATTTCTCCCATTTCTTCAATTATTTTCACCGCCGCCATCCTCTATAATCTCTCTCTCTCTCTCTCTCTCTCTCTCCACCCCCGATTTCTTCCCTCCCCCCGCCCAGCGCCTTTCAGCTCCGCCGCCTCCTCCTGTTCGTCGACGTCGCTGCGCCTCAGGTTTTATTTTTTTTTTATTTTTTTTATTTATGTATTTTTCCACCAACGATTTTGACACCTAATATTCGAAAAGAAACATGTCTCTGACCCATTGCCTGTTGAATCTGGTATACTTGAGCCTTGATATCCTCCTGCATTGTACCTCGATGTCAGACTGAATCAGGGTGCATTCCTCAATCTGCAACCTGGCATTACGAGATCAAATTTTTTTGTTCCTGGCTAACAAAATGTGATATTTATGAACTTGTACAAAAGCCATAACCTGAGACCAAATTGGATTCTGAAAGGGCATTCAAAGTGAAGATGATACATCAATGCATAGTAAAGGCAAGTCTCGTGAGTTTACGGTGCTACCTGAAGGTCAAGGAGTAGTGATTTTTTGCTTTCAATCGTCTTAAAATCTCGGGTGGGCCCCCCTGCACTGTAGCAGCAGGAGAGTGGGTGTGGCTGAAAGTGTGCCTGTAGTGCCACTCGATATAGTTACCTTTTCATTTTATATGCATGGGCAGTTACATTTGAATGCATCTAGTATCATTATCTCGTGTAGCATTTAACGGCGATAAATTACATGTAAAGCTGTTCTTCACACGACTTTATTGCATCCCCTTCAAATTGTATTTTGCGCATCCCTATCCTTTTATGCAACCTTTTGCATTGTGGCAAAAGATGATGATTGCCACATGAAGTATGAAGGATCAATTCAACTAGCTTGTCGCTGTATCTAATACGAGAGTTTCAGATTATTCCTTGCCCAGAGGATTCCCGAGCCATTTGAGCATAATTTATAGTAAAGGCAAAAGACAATAAGGTTTTACCTTGTAGATTATGAATTTACTTCGACAGAGACCTTACTTTTTTTTGGGTGGGGGTGTGGGGTGGGGTGGGGATGGGGTAAGTAAGTAATAGAATTTACCAGTGTTCAATGAAGTCCGGAGCAAAACAGATGACAAAGTTGTGGCCTTTCAAAATATGTAGATAGCCAATAAAAACAAGAGTAACAAAACGTAAAAACTATACTTTCACAGCTAATAACAAAAATACAGTTAGTGAGAGTAAAATACAGCTACATTAGCTTCTTCGAAAAGAAACGAGGCTCAATATGCATGTCTCTGACCCATTGCCTGTTGGATCTGGTATCCTTGAGCCTTGATATCCTGCTGCATTGTATCTTAATGTTAAACTGAATCAGGGTACAACATTCCTCAATCTGCAACCTGGTATTATGAAATCAATTTTGTTCCTGGCTAACAAAATGTGATATTTGCAAGCAGCTGCAGCTCCCCTTGTAATGTAATTGATGGAGTTGCTACTCCTCCACTCTTGGTCCACCCAAGCTGTAATACCCCAACCCTTGAGAGGGTAATGTGATTAGTATTGATAGATTTGATTGGAATACTCATACCACCAAGATGCATCTTCTTTTCGGGAACTCAACTCTTAGAAACTCCAAAGTTAAGTGTGCTTGGCCTGGAGAAATTCTAGGATGGGTGACCCCCTGGGAAGTTTTCCAAGGAGCGCGTGAGTGAGGACAAAACGTGCTGAAAAGACATGTGGTGGTTTGTAAGGCCAGTCCATCAGATCTAATAGCGTACAGACTCCGGGATTCCGGGACTGGGCGTTACAAATGGTATCAGAGCAAAGCCAACCGGAATTGTGAGAGCTAAGTGCTATGCGGCGTAAAGTGCTACGTCGAGAGGGCGGGAGCCACCTCTTGAGGCCGTAGGAGCCACCTCTAGAATCTCACACGGATGGTACGGTCTTTGATGATATGATTTGGCGCAACGAGGACGTTGCGAGTTTAAGTGGGGGAGTTTGTAATGCCCCAACCCTTGAGAGGATAATGTGATTAGTATTGATAGATTTGATTGGAATACTCATACCACCAAGATGCATCTTCTTTTCGGGAATTCAACTCTTAGAAACTCCAAACTTAAGCGTGCTTGGCTTGGAGAAATTGTAGGATGTGTGACTCCCTGGGAAGTTTTCCAGGGAGCGCGTGAGTGCGGACAAAACGTGCTGAAAAGACATGTGGTGGTTTGTGAGGTCAGTCCATCAGATCTAATAGCGTACCGACTCCGGGATTCCGGGGCAGGGCGTTACACAAGCAATAACTTCAGGCCAAGTAGTGGGGGCATTATGAACTTGTACAAAAGCCATAACCTGAGACCAAATTGGATTCTGAAAGGGCATTCAAAGTGAAGATGATCCCTTGTTTCCACATGGTTTGCACAAATGGGGCATATTTCATCCTCGTCAACTCCATAATTTTTCTGATTATCCTTAGTTGGCACTCTGTTCAAACGCCACACAATCCACAAATGCCGAAAGAGTGATTTGGAATAGAATATCTATTCCAAACAATCTTGGTCCATCTCTTTTTCTCCATTTCTCCCATAATCACATTATATGTAGCAGAGGCACTATACTGGACCTTTATCCCTTTCCAACTAATACCCAAATTAGATATATCAATGCATAGTCAAGGCAAGTCTCATGAGTTTACGGTGCTTCCTGAAGGTCTAAGAGTAGTGATTTTTGCTTTCAATCGTCTTAAAATCATAATTCTTTAGATAATATGATAATATTGATGCACCCATTTAACCCGAATAGAGTCAGACTTAAGAACTACAGCCCAAATGTTCTTAATCATCAAGGCTTTGTTTTAAAAATTCATATTATGAAGACTTAGGCCCCACAACTTTTAGGAGAACACACTGAAGACAAAACCACTTTTGCCTTGTGAAAATTGTGCAACTCTCCAAAACAAAGATAATTTGTACACACCTTCTCAACTGCTTTAATAACTTTCTTAGGCAGCACTAAGACACTACCCCACTAATTGTGTATACTGTAAATAACAGTTTTGTTCAATTGAAGCCTTCCAGCAAAAGATAAAGCTTTGCAGTCAAGAAAGTTATTCTTCGAGTGTTTTCTCAATTAAAACGTAGCATTCTTGAGCAATGAGATATTTAGAGGAAAGAGAAATACCTAAGTATTTAACAGGGAGGTCCTATTTCTTCTTACCTTTCTATTTTATGTATGGACTTTCATACAAGAGCTTTCCTTGATCTCAAGACTGTTCAGGGCTTCAAATTTCACCCCAGTTGCAAAGGCTTACAAATATCTCACCTGTGTTTTGCACTTGACTTGGTGCTTTTTTGTAGAGGTGATCTTTATGCTCTCATCTTTATAGCAGTTCTTCATTTCATAGCTGTATCTGGACTTTCTGCTAATGAGAACAAACGTCATGTCTTCTTTGGTGGTGTGGATCACTCTACAAGACTATCTTTCTTTGGTGGTTCTAGACATAGACTTGTATCAACATTCTAAGGTTGATCTAAATAGATTGAAGTGTAAGGTCTAAGCTGAGAACTTGAGAACATGATTCATGAATCATTTTTGGTTATTGCTTCAAGAGTTCTTCTACACCTATTTAATATAATAGCACTTGACAACACATCGAAAACTTAAAATTTTGGGTCTGAAGAGAATATGGGGGCTAGCCGCTAAGTTGCATGGAAACGGGCGCGGGTACTGGTACGGGTGCGGGTACGGGTAGGGGACACGGCAAAATTGTGAAATGTAGGGTACGAGGACATGACTACATATATATATTAAATTAATAATGTACATGAGATATAATTTTCCCGCTTCATGTGTCATTAGAATTAAAATTCCAATTACATTTTTGAGTTTTTTTTATCATATTGATTATTGTGAATTGTAAATTACTAGACATCTAAACGACCCATTAACTATATAGTTTTGAACTTGGGTATGGACTGAAACGAACCCGACCCGTATCTCATTAGTTTCAAAAGACGGATGTGAAGTGTAAGCTCTACGTCCAGGAAGTCTTTGACAAGTGTTTTAAATTAACACATATATCGTATAATTGAGTACATGTTGTAATAAATGCATGCATATATTCGAGAAGTGTCCATGAAGTTTGGGTACGGGAAAGTGTCGGGTACGTGTCCGGTACGGGTACGGCTTCAATAATGAAGTACGCCGGCTTCCTAGGTAAGCATAGGGCTTAGCTTATTTAGCATAAACCTGTACTATGAGATGACAACTTTATTTGGTTTTCAACGCAGCATACTGAAGCAGCATGCCTTCAGTTATGATTTTACATGACATGTTTGTTCTTTTGAATTTCGTGATATTTGATTGTACCTATTTCATCAGAATTACATTTGGAGTAATTTGATCATACTTTTTTTGGGGGTAATATTGATGTGGAACTCGATTAGTTGCTTTAGTTGATCATATATACGTGGTCGTATAAGGGGGGGGGGGGGGGGGGTGGGGCGGTGGGGGGGGGGGGGGGGGGGGGGGGGGGGGGGGGGGGGCGGGGGGGGTTGCTTGTCTCGTATTATATTTTTGTAAGATTCCCTTATCCGGTACCCAGTTCTAGTTTATTGATACCCAGTTCTCGTATTATATTTTGTAAGATCATCATATACTTGTTTCCATGTGAGCTGGTTAACCTGTAATCACTTTTTTGTTATTTGTCTACGTTTCACAAATTTGAGTTCACATGAAATCATTACAGGTATGCTCATATGATTCTTTCCTACTACTACATTGATTAAATCCACTTCAGACTTTAGTTTCCACTTTCCTCTCCTTTTATAGTTCCTAAGTTACCCGAGCACTTCATCCTTGTCCGTGTCCATGTCTGACACTCCTTGGGCACTTAATGAGTATGTACATACATTTATTCCAGAGATGTATTTAATTATATAATATATGTTCTAGCTTAATAACGCTTCTGATTCACTGCTTGGACTCGGGTCGAGTTTGTTTCAACCCATATTCAGTTCATTAGTATGATTTTAAATGGTCGATTTGGTATCTTGTTAAAAAATGAGTGGTTTTCCAATTTATAATCTACTCAATAAAAGAAATATAAAATGTTACAGGAATTTTATTTCTCATAACATGTGAATGACAAAACAAAATTGACCTCTTATAAATTATTAATGGAATAGCATATAATATATATAGTTGTGTCCATGTATCCTATCTTGTACAAATTTGTTGTGTCCGATATCCACAACCCCACCTGCACCTGCACCCATGCAATGTGGCAGCTAAATAACATATGACAACTACCAGATGTATGTATGTGTGTGTGTGTGTATTTTTTTTGGGTTTTTTTTTGTTTTGTTTTTGGGGGTGGGGTGGGGGTGGGGTGGAGTGCTAAGGTGGGGCAGGGGATTACAGTTATCGCTTGTCTGTGTTAATGAGAGGTCCAGATTCTTCCTTGCTGAAGAGTTCTTCAAAACCATGCTGGTATAGATTGCAGTAAGATCTACAAAAAGGTTATAGAAGATTTTACATTGCAGACTATGACTTCTTCTCATTTTGATTGACAAAGACCTTGTACTAACACCCAATTAACATCCTTCAAGGCTGATGAAAATAGATTTCAAGTATAAAGTTGAGCTAACATCATCATTAAGTTTCCGATATTTTTCTGTTGTATTTCATGGGATCTGTTGTATTTCATGGGATGTCTGCAACCATTTATGTCTACATCGAGCTTCATTATGCATGTATATAGAATTGCGTAATTCATTTTTCACGGAATTTGTTTGTTATTTATAGGCGAGTGCTTTCTAAATAGAGCACTGAGATGGCGAAGGGAAAGAAGTTGTTCATCAAGTTGGTGTCAGCTGCAGGAACAGGTTTCTTCTATGTGAAGCGGAAGAATCCCAGGAGAACCCCGGATAAACTCGAGTTCAGGAAGTATGATCCGAGAGTTAATCGACATGTTCTTTTCACCGAGCAAAAGATGAAATGAGAGTATATTTGGATTTTTATCCTTTTAGGTCTTTCAATCGAGCTATTTTCTGCTGGTAGAACGTCGTTTCAACTCGATTTTATGTTAGTAATGTTCAGGAAGAAATGTTGAGACCTGGTCACTTTCTTTTATGTTGCTGGATGAAATTAGAGTCAATATAAGTATTGATCTATGAATGATATTGTGGCTGAAAATCTTCAAAAGTTTGGAGAACAGTTTGGCTCCAAAGTTACT